TTCCACGCCTAAAATGGGAGTGTGAAAGCAGTTTACACGCCTAAACCAGGCGTGGAAACTGCTTTCACACGCCCATTTTAAGCGTGGAAAATTAGTTCCGGCGTTCGGTCCACATGCCGGTTCTAAACCGGTCGGCCAGTTCAATTATTTTTTCAGCCCAGTATAAACGAAATGATGTATTATATTTAAATAAGTATTAGTTAACAAATTTGCTCTGACTTAGGTGGTCAGCGTCTCTTCTAATACACAATAGACTTGTGTTCGAGTCTTAGGTCCGTCTCCCATATATGTTTATATACGATGGATGTGAGAAGTTATTATGGGGAGTTATTGGAAGTGTATATTTATTGTAAGTGATAAATATGGTAGGAAAGAATACCAAATGATATAATTATAGTAAATTTAAAATACTTAATTTTGTAAAACCTTTCTTGTAATATTTGGAGTATGTTCTTCTTTGTCGGTGATGAGTATTTTTAAATGCCAACATGTTGGAGAGATTACTCGTGACTTTCGTTTATAGTCAATTAGTCATAGCAAAGTTAATAGAGAATTGTCGAGGATGAAATTTATTTTTTGGCAAACATAATATAATTCATTTTTAGTTTTATCGGAACATTTTCTTGTTGAATCACATGATTGGTCATCTACATTTCTATGTTGAGCTAATACATGAAACTGTATTTTTTAACTTTCAACAGTTGAATTGATTTTATTAGGTTAAACCATATTCACATTTTATGCATCTCAAGATATATTTTGCTTCATCGCATTACTCTCTCGAGACTTTTGTCACAATTAAGCAAACACATTATTTTTTATGTTTTTTTCGTGTAGTGTTAATAAATCAGAAGATATTTACATTAAAAGTTGTAGTAATATACATTTTTTCATACTTGCAATATGGAACAATTGAACTTGATAGTGAATAATAAAAAAGTTAATTGTGTGCAATAGAGAATAATACTTGTAACAATTTGTTATATAATACACATCTTTTAGTATCGAAAGAACCCTAAATATAAAAATGGATCTCATAGGAAAAATAATCTAGAATCGAATAATTTGATCGCACATCCTTCCATCATCACTGCAAACAGATGTAAAATTCCCAGAAAGCTACATTAGTGAGCACACATCAGATATGTCCTTTAAAAGCAAAACAATCTTGGAGGCACTCCAATAATTCCAATAACCATATCATGTGCCCGAATGTCTTAAAGTTTTGAATATAAATTTCGATTAATATCACAGACAAAGTAATCTTCTATGTCCATGAGAAGGTGGATTTTCTAAAACTCAATATGTCGGCAAAAGAAGTAAATTAATCAATGCAGAATCAACATGTAAAATTAATAGATATTCAAGTCAAATGTAAAATTATTAGTGAAAAAAAATGCAAACTAAGAATGAGATGTACTAACCTGATACGCATTCGATCACACAAGATCCCACTTGCGGACATTGCGATCCAAAGAACCATACATAAAGATCTGTGCACTCATCCTTTTGAGTTTGGCTATATACTTATTTTTGGAGGAGAGAGTAGGCTGGGAATGCTTAAGTGACCGTGCAATAGAATTTGATCTTTATTCATGGTCAGATGAACTTGATCTGTCTTTATCAGGCCCTACTTGAGAATTTCATGAGAACTGATGCATCAAACAATTTATCCAGACTTACCTCTGTTGTTAGCAAAAGTATTGCACACCCTGATCTTCTTATATTTGAGCAGGTGAACACATTTTTCTGAAACCAAATTTTACATAAACGCAAAACAGAAATGGGGTTTTTTTTTTCGTAATTGTTCTTGTCAAGGCATCCAGGCTATATGAAGTGAAACACAATAATGAATATACATAAATTATTAAAAAAAAAAAAACTATCTGAAAACAAAAAATAGAAACTGAATAAATTCGCCTACGAAGAATTTAAGAAGAAATAAAACAACTCTCGAACAATTCATTTTACATGTTGGTATCTACAATCTACATGCGCGATAAACATAATACATGAACGTTTGATGTTCGTGTTATTTCATCCTAAAATCATTTTGATACGAATTCCATACAGTATATGTAATTAGTATTAATAATGTTTCCATTTAAATAAATCCAAGGTTCATAAAAAGCCAGGAAAAAAAGAATGCAAAAAGGGGGCAATACTCGAGGAAGCGCACCAGGAGGAAGCATGGAGATGAGAACTTCTCGCACCATTTGCTGCTGCTACAAACATGTCATTCCAAACAGTAGAGCCATATCAAGAATTAGAATATAGTTCTGCATAGACTACATACATAATTAAGAAGGCACTCTTCCTTTAGTGATTCCAAATCTCTTGTTAGTTGTAACTCCGGATCCAACTTCTATCAAGAAAAAAAAGCTTAAAGATCACTTATGTCTTATAGCATTTTACATAGAAGGCATTGAGGTTTGAAAATAAAAATATGAACATAAATATTTTCTAATTTAATCGTTGCCGTATGAATAATAAAAACTCATTTTACCGGATGGTTTAACTCGGTTCCAAAATGCATCCCACAGCCACATCCGTGATGGTTTATGTGTTCTATCTTTTCCACCATCTTTTCTCCCAGAGAGAGGCTCAACATTTACTAATTTGCTGTTAGTTAGCTCTTTCAGAGGGGGTTCAAGATTATGCGCATCAGTGGAGGCTACTATAAGTTTTTTAGTGGTAATTGATAAGTTATATCCTCGTCAGATAGACGTATAACGATGGAAAAATACTTAAATCAACTCAAATCCTAACCCTGTCTACAGAGTTAAAAAAAAACGAAAAGAAAACAATAATGAGGTCGAAATCACCAACAGAGTCGAATCACCGCACTTTTGCTTGGCCTTTGACGAATCAGATTCCAATGATGAAAGCCTATGGGCAACTGTCCACTGTCATTGATCTCGTATGTTAGTTGAACCCCTTTTTCACCTCAATTTCACCGATTTTACTCTATGCATTTCAGTGTGTGTTTATTTAGAATAATCACATGACCCCTAATTTTTGAAGAAAAAACAAATCCATGAGAACATGCATACACCGAATACAGAAGGACTTAACAAAACTGAAAAATTTGATGTTTTCTTCGGCCATATTCCTTCAATTCATACCCGAAATATGGAAGCTTGGAAAATTCCGTTGAGGTTTTCTACGGGAGGGATGAAAAGGGAGTTTCTTCAATCTTCCCGGAACTCTATAATTCTTGGCTTCAGGAGATGAAGAATGTTGAGCAGTGCCAAATAAAATTACTTTTTGTTGCAGTTTTTGGTGTTCAAAGGGATTTTCGGGAGAAGCGGAATACGTGAGATGAATGGAGAGCAGTTACTGATCGTGTCTTCTGTGTTTTTTTGTTGTTTTTTACTTTTCTTTTATTTTTCATTTTAATCGTTACCTTCGAAAAAAAAGAAACTGCGAGAATAAAAATTGTCAAAAATACCCATAAGTTTAGGGTTAGGGTTATAGGTCAAAATATCTTCTTTTTATATATAAGATAATACTAAAACGCACTAACAATATTAAAAACACATTAAATCTTAATCTTATTTTTCATCACGAGAAAAAAAAAATTATAGAAAGTTTAAAATTTGAATTCTTGAAAATTATATCACTAATTTTGAGATTTCTTTCCCAATAGATATAAAAAAATATTTAGTTGTTATTTCTTCAAAAATGATTAATTATTACTATACTATTATTAACCAATTACATATTAATTATAATTTCATTAATTCATTCATCAAACAGATTAATTACAACATTTATTCCACTTTTTGAATATAGTTCTTAGAATAAAATGAATAGTTTTATTCAAACATATTTATAAACTAAACCACGATACGTTTAATTTTAAATTATTTTCTCACCCTATCAAAATAAAAAATTAAACTATATTTTCTTTTATCAATAGAGTTCGGAAATTGAATTTGTAGTACATTTCACTTCAATAACTTTTACCCATTCAAACAATATTAAATCATAAAGATTAAATCATTAAAACAAGTTATAGCTCTGCATAATTAAAGCTATCAAAATAGTTGCAAAAAAACGAAAGGAAATACCTGAGTTCAATTGTCGATTTTACAGGATTACAGGTACGTCTTATTACTCCCTTGATACATATTTTCCATTTACTCGTGCTTGAGTTTAGACCTCCTTGTTAAATATATATATATATATAGCGAGAGAGAACCTAATTATGGATTAATAAAAAAAACCATACGCATAAACAATACGAGACCATACTGTAATGATACAAAAATGTAACACACGAGAAAAAAAAAATTAAAAAAAAATGCAAGATGATGACGAAGTTATGATCAAACAGCTGCGAAACCTTAAACTGCAGCAGGAGAATTATTATGTACAAATTAAGACAACATTAAACTCAGGCTTATCAAGGATTCCTGAGGGCAGCTAATCTCTTCTCTAGATCATCAGTGCTTGAACTGCAATAAATAAGAACGATATCATAATTAATATAAAACGCGGGCCCCACATGTGCGCTCGAGTAATAAACGATCGAGGCATCAATATAATTAAAATATACCTGCCAACATCCTGTGCCTTCTTCCCAGCAATTTTTCCTTTTGGAGCAGATGACAACTGTACATTGAATTGGGGTAACATAAGTAAAACTCAACATGTTGTTATATTACCTAATTAAAAAAAAAAAAACAAGAAAAAAAGAAAAGAATAAACCTGTGAGACGACGTCTACACCAATTTCGTCGAGCACCTGTTACACATTCATCGTAGGTACGAATCAATACTTGGATTAATCAGTAGCAGTGATTAAATAAATTTAATAAATAATTGACCTGGTTTGTCAAGTCCTCTGTTTCATCCTCAGCCTCGTCGTTGTCCAAAGCATCATCGATTGTATCCGACATCATTCAACATCGTATTTCTTTCATTTTTCCTACTTTGTTTCGGATCCTTGTCGGTCACTGTTCTGTTTTTTTTTTTTTGGCATTCCTTTACTTACTCTACATTCTCTTCATTTCAGTCTTCCCTGGCAGGGACTTAAAGCTGGCACCAAAAAACAGAAATATGACAAGATTAGCGAGAAGAAAATGCTTACGCCTATAGAGGTTCATATAAATATCCATTCTTGCATTTTTTATGTAGGTTGTGTCGTTGAAAAATTGTATGCTGCTAGAAAACAACAGTTAATTATCTCTGTTCATTTGTATAAATTTGTGTCTTGAATACCTACTCCTGCTAGTTTATTGAATCCACTTGATTTTCTGGATTGATCATGCTGCTTTAAGATTTCAATGTGTGGATAGTAATACTTGACGGGTTGAAACTGTAAACTAATCGTGGTGCTTGATCTGCCTGCCGCAATAAGATTTGGTTGAGGAGTAATACTCCTTTAACCATTTGAAACTACGTACCATGTGTTAATTTGTGCATAATGCACATGAAACCAAAAGGAAAAGAAAATGCAATGTGCAGAATATCTTTTGTTAGTCTTCTCTGCATGTCTATATGATTTTGAAGAATAAATAGTTAGTTAGAACTTAGAAGTATTATGTTCCCCTAATCCTAAATGCTAAATTTGGTTAGGGTTTTCCGATCAATCCCTGGATTTGGTGATTCGTGGAAAGCTTACATGATTTACAATTATTTCAGGTCCTTTGCAAATCATTTCCATCAGAATTCATATCTTATTTTCACTATTGCCGGTCGTTAAGATTTGAGGACAAACCAGATTACTCCTATTTAAAGCGACTTTTCCGGGATTTATTTATTCGTGAAGGTAATGAATAATATAACTGTACCATATGTTCTAATCTCATACTCTTGTTGATTTTCTTATTGAACGGTATTTTGTGATCATTACTTGTCTATTCCTGCTTGAGTATCGTATCTCATGTGCACTTTTTGAAATATTCGTGCAGGTTACCAATTTGATTATGTGTTCGATTGGACTATGTTGAAGTATCCTCAGATTGGTGCAAGTTCCAGATCAAGGGTAAGTGTTTGCATATTCTTTCGTGTGTTGCTTTATGATCTTTGATAGTGTGAATGTAAAGGTTCATTGACTTGCTTGCAGAATCCTACCGGTAACGCTGTTGCGGGAACTTCTGGTGAGAGATCAGGAAGAACATCAGGTAATTAAGTACAGTGTGTGTGTGTGTGTGTGTGTGTGTGTGAAATGACCTGTCAAATGATTTGAGTTTCCGTCCCTTTTGACAATTAATTAATCGAAGATTCTGAAACCTGAAAATAAAGGAATGCCGTTGAAGTATGTGAATTAGAACATTCTTATTGTTTTTTTTTGATTTTATTGTTTTCTTCAATGGGGCAAGATATTCGAGATCGATTCTCAGGTGCCGTTGAAGCTTTCTCTAGAAGAAATCCTGCAGGTCCAGGTCGACATGGTCAAAATTTTAGAAACAAGACATCAGAAGATGTACCTTCCTCCAAAGATGTGGTATTTGTTCTTTATCCATCCATCCCATTAAAAAATTAGGCATCATCCGTCTTTTATAACTTTGGTCGTACGTGATTTTTCTTGCATTAAAATTCCTGGATTTTTTTTTTTTTTTTATATTTCTCGACTTTGAACTTGGTACTAAGAGGGATTTCAATGGGTTCAATTGAATGCAGCAACCGGATTCGGAAAAAGGGCGTACTTCTCGAAACGGCAGCTCTTCAAGGAGAGCAGCCATTTCGAGCAGTAGACCAAACTCGTCGGGCGATCCAAGTGATGGCAGAACCACCAGAGTGGTATCGAGCAGTGGTGGTCGAATATCCACCACACAAAGAATCCAGCCAGCTGGCGTTGATCATAAACCGCCGTCTTTCTCTCGTACTACTAAACCCACTCGTGACGACCCTCTCCGAAGCTTCGAATTTCTCTCCATCAGAAAGTAAAAATTGGATCGCTTTTTTCTTTTCCTTAAAAGAGGTAATGTGAAAGGTGAACTCTAAATACCCCCAACCCTATTTATCGGAAACCTTGTTCACATTATCTGATCATTGTAAATGTAAAATGTGTTGTACACCACACTAGTTGATGCTTCGTTCGACCGCCTTTATCTTCGCCTTTTCTTTTTTTCCGAGAGTTGTTTTTGTTGTAAACGCCATATGTGCGGCTGTTTTTTTTTCTGTTTATTACAAGACAAGAATTGCATATGTAATCTCATCATGTATACCGCTGCATGTATTTTCAAATACAGTAAATACCTAAATTGCCCTGTTCTAAAAGATGGGCTTGAACCGGACTCTATTTGTGATGCTGGTGGGATTTATTATTATACATTATAAATGTTTTTTGTGCCTAAATAATTTTCAATTATTCAAATTTGAAGTTTCCTATAATTTTCTTTTCAAAACTTCTTAAAAGGTGAAAAGTGATTTAAAAATTTAACGTGTTTGTTATTTTTTTCAATTTATTTATTTCGTTTTTGATCTATCTGTATCTTATATAAGATTTAATCTATCTATCTATTTAATTCCCTTAGCTACGTGGAATCTTACTCGTTACATGCGTGTAATTATTTATTCTATTTATATAACTTTATTAATTATCCAACATTAATTTCCACTTTCCGCAATATGGTAAAGTATTCATTACATGTTTTCATAATAAATCACAATTTAAACATATTACTTATATCTGATGTCATAACAAGGTCCACCTATTTTGTTGTACGTATATGTTAATATTAGTAGTAATTAGCCAAGTATTAGTTCGATATGAAATAAATCAATTTTCATTTAAATATTTCCATATAGTTCTCAAAAAAAAAATCCATATAGAATAAATTAATTATAAAATTATAACGGCACATTTGGTATGTGGGTATGGGCAAGGAATGGAATATATGTTCCCAATTTTATTCCCGAATACATGTTTGGTATGTTTTGGGAATGGGAATACCCATTCCTATCGGAATGCTCATACCCAAATTTATAGGATTAGTGATTCCTCCACTCCCCCATGGTTTTACGTATTCCCAATTCTATGGGAATAAATAATTATTTTCTTTTGACAAAATTATCCTTATTTAATAATTTTTGTTTACAAAACTATCACGCAAATTCCATTTAACTTAAACCTAATTCTATCATATTGATTTATCGTCTTTTTTTTCCTCCGTCGTCTTCAGCCGTCTGAAGATACAATTTTTTTTTCTTATGCATCTTTCTTTCTTCGGCTTCTGATTTTCTGATTTTTGTAAACTCATTTGTCGAACAACTGGATTCAGTTTAGTGGGGATATGAAAACAAGCTATAAATAATACTATTGCTTGTCCTATTCTTGAGTTTTAACAGTACGTGCAATTGTTTATAAAGAAGCAAATTCAAGTTTTATTTCTACTGATTACAGAATAAATAGAAATTGATGGGGAGATTAGTGGGTTAAAGGAAATACAAAATATTTAATGAATTTTATAATTAAAGGATAATTTGGTCATTAAAATATTTTATTCCATTCCGCTACATTTTATTTAAGTTACCAATCATGAGATTCAAAGAAGGTAAGGGATTAGATTTCATTCCTTTCTTATTCCTCGTTTATACCAAACATAGGAAATGGAACAATATTATCATTCCTTTCCCATCATTATTCCATTCCAATGCTTATTCCATTCCTATCTTATTCCTTTCCTGCATACCAATTGTGCCGTAATACATTATGAAATAAATTTTGTATGCTTACGTTGCAAGAAATTGAAAAACGTTGCAAGAAATTGAAAAGTAAGGATAGTAACTAAAGGAAAAGAAGTAAACAAGCTACTTAAAGGAAATAAATGAGTGAATTAAGGAAATAAATAAAATATCACACACCAACTGTTGGGCCCAACTCTTTGTCAATTATCCGAGTCCCAGGTTTTTGAGTTAGGCCGAAGTTGACCAAATGTAATAGACCTTGTAGAGATTTCCTAGATAATTATAGAAAAAAATTTGTAAGAATTCTTTAGAGTGTTCTAGTGAACAACTATTCTTATCCATTAGATTTGAGAGATTTTCATTATTCATTGAGGAATTGGTCTAGTATAAATAGGAGTAGGACTTCATTTGTAAGTATCAAAGAAATCCCAAAAATTGGGACCCAAAACCGACCTGTACTTTGTCAAGTCCGCTTCCGGATCAATGGTCAATAGGGTTGTTAAAACAATAAATAGCTAAATAGCTAAATAGCAAAACCGTATTAACATTAACATTGACATTAAAAATATGATTAACATTAAAATATTAAGATTATGATTAGTATTAAAATTAATATTAATAATAATAATAATAATATTAACATTAGCTAGTATTTAAATTGTAAAGAAACTGAAAAGGGAAGGATATTAATGACAGCCGTTTACTTTCCTTATGTATTATACTTCAAATGGTCCTGATTGATTCTCATCCTCTCTAACAAATCTCTCTGACAAATTCTTTCAAATTCGAAAATCTCGTCAATCTGAAAGGTAATTAATCATCTAAAGTAGTTATATATATTGAGTTTGTGGTTAATCATGTGAAAATTCCCAGAAAATCGCAATTTAGAGTTTTTTTTTTTTTGTGTCGGGTTTCGAATTTTCCACGTCTAAAATGGGAGTGTGAAAGCCGTTTCCACGCCTAAACCAGACGTGGAAACTGCTTTCACACGCCCATTTTAGGCGTGGAAAATTAGTTCCGGCGTTCGGTCCAGACGCCGGTTCTGAACCGGTCGGCCGGTTCAATTTTTTTTTTGTCGCCTACTATAAACGAAATGATGTATTATATTTAAATAAGTATTAGTTAACAAATTCGTTCTAGTTTAGGTGGTCAGCGTCTCTTCTAATACATAATAGACTTGTGTTCGAGTCTTAGGTTATTTAGATTATTTAAAAAGGTTTTGAGAAAAACAAAATAAATAATATAATAAAAACAGTAATAAATATTCAAAAACTTTACCTATTCAAAACAGATTTTAATTTTTATAATACTAAAACGCACTAACAATATTAAAAACACATTAAATCTTAATCTTATTTTTCATCACGAGAAAAAAAAAATTATAGAAAGTTTAAAATTTGAATTCTTGAAAATTATATCACTAATTTTGAGATTTCTTTCCCAATAGATATAAAAAATATTTAGTTGTTATTTCTTCAAAAATGATTAATTATTACTAAACTATTATTAACCAATTACATATTAATTATAATTTCATTAATTCATTCATCAAACAGATTAATTACAACATTTATTCCACTTTTTGAATATAGTTCTTAGAATAAAATGAATAGTTTTATTCAAACATATTTATAAACTAAACCACGATACGTTTAATTTTAAATTATTTTCTCCCCCTATCAAAATAAAAAAATTAAACTATATTTTTTTTTATCAATAGAGTTCGGAAATTGAATTTGTAGTACATTTCACTTCAATAACTTTTACCCATGCAAACAATATTAAATCATAAAGACTAAATCATTAAAACAAGTTATAGCTCTGCATAATTAAAGCTATCAAAATAGTTGCAAAAAAACGAAAGGAAATACCTGAGTTCAATTGTCGATTTTACAGGATTACAGGTACGTCTTATTACTCCCTTGATACATATTTTCCATTTACTCGTGCTTGAGTTTAGACCTCCTTGTTAAATATATATATATATAGCGAGAGAGAACCTAATTATGGATTAATAAAAAAAACCATACGCATAAACAATACGAGACCATACTGTAATGATACAAAAATGTAACACACGAGAAAAATAAAAAATAAAAATGCAAGATGATGAAGAAGTTATGATCAAACAGCTGCGAAACCTTAAACTGCAGCAGGAGAATTATTATGTACAAATTAAGACAACATTAAACTCAGGCTTATCAAGGATTCCTGAGGGCAGCTAATCTCTTCTCTAGATCATCAGTGCTTGAACTGCAATAAATAAGAACGATATCATAATTAATATAAAACGCGGGCCCCACATGTGCTCGAGTAATAAACGAGGCATCAAAAATTACAATATACCTGCCAACATCCTGTGCCTTCTTCCCAGCAATTTTTCCTTTTGGAGCAGATGACAACTGTACATTGAATTGGGGTAACATAAGTAAAACTCAACATGTTGTTATATTACCTAATTAAAAAAAAAAAACAAGAAAAAAAGAAAAGAATAAACCTGTGAGACGACGTCTACACCAATTTCGTCGAGCACCTGTTACACATTCATCGTAGGTACGAATCAATACTTGGATTAATCAGTAGCAGTGATTAAATAAATTTAATAAATAATTGACCTGGTTTGTCAAGTCCTCTGTTTCATCCTCAGCCTCGTCGTTGTCCAAAGCATCATCGATTGTATCCGACATCATTTCAGTCTACACACACATAAAATGGAAAAAATGTTTAACTTCACCGAGAGAAGGTGTTATATATATATATATATATATATAGTGGCACTTATGCGCATACATATAGAGAGACTTACGGTCATATCCATTTGCGCTGATTGCTTCTGGAATTCTTGAATCACTTTCCTCTGCTTCGCGGGGTCCATTTGCTAAAATTTCAAGATTGTAAAAATGAATAACTGACGAGAAATATCGTCTCGTAAGGTTAGATTTTCGTTCGTCTTAAGAAGTCGATTATCTTAAGTTAGAATCTAACCTTATTCATTGCAGCCATAGCTTTAGTGGCACCTTGCATACCAATAGCTACAGAAGTCTGAGCAGACATTGCCTGCAAAAAGACATAGTTAGTTAAGTTAGTTACATCTTTATTATAATGCAAGAAAATGGAGCAACTTAAAAAATTAAACAAATTTAAAAAAAAATAAAAAATCATTGAGTAAGACCATGTAATTGTGTATACCTGAGTGTGAGTCGCCATACCTCGCATCTGAGCTCGACTGCTTTGTAAATTGGCTATTTGTTGGCGGAGCCTGACTAACTGGCGTGCTAGGATTTTTGTTGCTGTCTGAAAATTGCAGGTTAAGAAAAACACGAAGAAAAATCCGAATGCGGTTTATTAAAAATGGTTATTAATCGAGTCGGTAAATGTAGTTAGTGTATTGAGTTCGAATATGCTATAGAGACCTCATTCCCTGTTTTAGCAGTTCTCTTTATCTCAGCGACAAGCTTCTTTTCCTGCATCACAAATAAACCATCCTATTTTAATATGCGTATACGTATACACGAAGAAATTTGCGCCGATCGATGCATCATGAATTCTTAACGTACCTCTAATTGCAATGTGCTGATTTCTTTTTCTATACCTAAATAGAGACCACAGTCAAAAATAGCGTATATATTAGTCGGAACTCGGGATGTATTTCATGTTGTGTATCGATACAACATGAAATTCATTAATATTAAAAAAAAAAAAACAATGAGAAGTTAGAATATAAGTATAGGCTCTTCTTATATGCAACTCTTGCCTACATAGGCATAACTAAATCTAATATACTGTATACAAACAAGACGTCGGCTTACATGATATGAACAGATAATAATAACTGTTCAAATATATATATATATATATATATATATATATATATATATATATATATATATATATATATATATATATATATATATAAATGTAGCAAATGAAATACCTCTAGTAGCGTTGGCCATATCTCGTTTACTCTCTCGAACCATTTCTGCAATCAAGTATGAACGAAAAAGTCAACCTCGTTGACAATCGAATGATGGGTGTTCATGGCGAGAAAAGAAAGAAGAAAGATAACAAACCTCTGGCCGTAGGTTTCTTGGTGAAGATGCTCATGTTTTTTTCCGATCAAACGAACGTGTCCGGATTTTTGAAATAAGTCTCTTGTGTGTGTGTGTGTATATAACGACGATAACGCGGTGAGATAATTTTGTTGTGCGTGTATTTGATGCTTTTTTTGCTATTTTGTTAATTAATTATTCCGATTATTTTAATGTTGTCGTAGCTGAATGTGTCCAAGTTATGAGATTTTGGTCAAAATTGCAATTGCCCCCCAAGGTTTTTCATTCTTCTAATTTTTTAATCGTCTCAGCAAAAATCACACCAAAAATTGCATACTAGCAGCACACACTTTTTTGTTAAGTAAAAAGAATATATATATATATATATATATATATATATATATATATCATTCAAATTTAACAAAAACGTGTAACATTCAAATTTATAGTTTAGAAGATGCTAATCCATATTTAGTCAAGAAATGTAATCAGTTAAGATTTGCTTTGACACTATTTGCGTCGCTAATCAAAATCACAGAAAATGAGCATACAACACACAATTTTCACCAAGAATCAAGCACTAGGAAGATCCAAAATTAGTCAAAATAACTCAATAATATTAGTGTGTTTATTTTCAGAAATATGCATTATAATATATAAAAATCTAACCAATTTGCAACTCTCTGGCACAAAAACATGTTTGCACCAACAATGTGGCTCAAACACATGACCACATGAAAAGCAAACAACACTCGTCACTAAATTCAAAGCATAGAAACAGCATTATAAGAAAATCAGAAACTAATTACTGCAGAAAGGGAAAATGCCAGGGGCCAATCCAACTACCAAAAGAAGAATAAGGTCTGAGACAACGATTTCCAAACGAAGGCAAACACAACAGAGGCAAAATTCGAGTATCTTTCCTTTTGTGAATATCCCGAGGACAAGTAAATATGCGCGTAATAAATAGTTTGAAATCCGTACTCCAAATTCTTAAAAAATTGTACTTTCTCAGACTGCAATCTCTTTCTTAAGTTTTGCAAGCTCCTGTCGGACGACACCAGCTTTCTGCAAGTTAAAACAACAAACAATATAAACTTCAACAACAATATGCGGGAAAAAAAAGTAATAATAAGCAAAAAAATGATTCTAAAAGATTTTCCAAAAATATTGTACAGAGACTGAATAAGCATTGTTAGGTTTGATTCAGAACGGTTAAGTGACAAAATACAGCAATTTTGTTTCTTAAGTAATGGCATTCTCGGATAAGCTCATTGTAGCAAAATGTAAAATCAATATGAGAAATGCAGTGTAACGGAAATACCTTGATCTTTGCTAGCATGAGCTTGAATCGGTCAAAATCGTTGAGGGCAGCCCTTCTCTTCTGAACAATCAGCTTCCTTCCCCATGAGCTCTTCTCCCATTTGCCCTTAACATCTGCAAGAAATGTAGTAAAATTATCAGTTTCGACTACCAACGCAATCAGAGCGGCGAAAGATACTATCAGTTCAAACACACACCAGCAGCTTCCATGGCAGCTATAAGAGTCTTCTTGTTTGGAACCCTTTTGATATCAATCTTGATATCCGTAAGAGAGAGTCTCTTGAAATTCATCTGACCCCTTACCATGTCGGGAGAATCCACTAGAGCCTGTTATTTCACAAAAGAGTTATGGCACCAAAGTTTCAAAAGATGAACTGAACAAAACAGAACAATTATAGGAATTGTCATACGCAATTAACTCACATACGCATCGAGGAAACAGCCAATCGTTTATTCTCGGTGAAGACATCAAATAAACCACAGATGAAGGCAAGCACGAATCATTTGCAAAATTCAATTTTTTTTAATTTCCCTCTATTTAAAGAGATTAACATGATTGAATTTCAAAACATGCCTAAAAGGCAAGATAACATGATATTTGCGGGTCGACCCGGCAAGTTATTGGGGATACCAAACATCAAACAAAGTCAGATTATTTAGTTAATCATGGCTAATCTCCCCAACCAAACGAGGCCTAATCATTTCTAAACACACTAACCACATACTCACTCTCAGTAACCCATGAAACTCACTGTCATCATCCCCGCATAATCAAGATGGGAAATAGACTCATATACCCAAACCCTAGCAAAAACTATTTAATCCATAAGTAAGCATAATCCTTCAAATAAGCGATCAATAGGAAAACATACAACCTGCTTTCAAACGAAAGCATATGCTAAACAAAATGTACACTTCCAGATTTGAATTGAAACACCAACTTGAAAAATAAACATATTATTGCAAGCAAAATGCATCGGCAAATTAAAAAAAAAAAAAATCGGAGAGCCGTACCCGGTTCTGGTCAATGACGTCAACAATGACGACAAGCCTGCCATAGTCCTTTCCGTAGTTGACGAGGGCCACCCTCCCGATCTCCACGTACCTCTTGAACGGCTACATTAAATTACAAAAAAAATATAAAAAATTATAAATCATAAAATCCCCAATCTGTACGCACATAATTACGCATCGGAGAAATGAGATAGAGAGAGAAAGAGCAGCGTTCGGACTAACCATCTTCAGATGATTCTTGCGTCTGCGTGCGCGATGAGAGGCTGATTTGGAGACTGAGAAAAATGGAGAGTGAAAACGATGAAGGTTTTGTTAGTGAGGAATTAGGGCTAGGGTTTTATTCTGCAAGTGTTGGGCTGTGTGAAATTCCAATTGGGCTTTAAATATGAGTTTATGAAATCCTAATTTAATTTGCCGCCCGTTAATATTTCGGCCCAATACGCTAATACTAATAATCCATGCATAATGATAATAATAGATTAAAAACTAGATAAATTAATAACCTCATTTGAATAATAAATTCTTCTGGTCTCAATTTGGCGATAATGTTCTACACTATTAACTAGATAATTTAATATTTTACTAAATTAATAGAATTTTCCTGGTCTCTACTGTATTAATTTATAGAGTTTTAACTGTACACCCGTTTTATTATCTTATAGAAGCCATGTCGTATTAAAATATCATTTTTTATTTATTAAATATTCAAAAGTGAATTGCATTTAATGTTTTCATCTAAATTATCTAATTATTTGGTTATTTTTGAATATTTTAGTTTCGAATCAAATAGTTAAGCTAACAGTTCTATTAAGTTATATATGACATTTTATTTTCAGTTTTATTTACAGATTTAATATTTAAACAAATTCAAATCAAATCAAATAACATATAATAGGTATTTTTTTAAATAACATCCATTCATTCATATCATACCATGTTTTTTTTTTTTTTAATGAAGCAACCACAACTATTCATGTAAGTGCACTGCGTATAATAACTTGTAAATTATACGAGAAATATAAACAACACTAGACATTTTATTCAAAATTGAGTCAATTATTCCAACTGCTAGGTTATCTCTTACGTAATACGGGACATATCACACCATGCTTGAGACGAGAAATTGCACTACATATTCATTATCAACAATTAATGTTAATAAGCACAAAGTATTTGTAATTTCAAATTGTTGCAGGCGGGACCAAACTTTGGGTAATACAATCAATCCACGTCAGCATGTTGAAAAGCTTCTCATAATAAATAAATATTAAAATACTAAATATTAATATTAAATACTAAATACAGAGAAAAAATAGATAGTACGAAGAACCATCATACTAGAGTTGTTTTGATTTCTGTCATTTTCCAAGTTATTTTCTCCTACATCCATAATTTATCTCTCTTCTGCGTTCTTCTTCTCGATCCGATCAAATATATATAATTTACATTTTTTTTTTCAAATTTCTCCTGATTTAATACGAATTCCCGTTCCCCAGACGCAGGAGAATTCGCCGACGAGAATTCATACTTAAATCGGTTTTGGTGAAATTCTAAGGTACGATTTATGAAGTGTTGTTATTTGGTAAGATTTCGACGACGCAAATCGTATTATTTATTGAAAATTTGATCCAAATTTGTAAAGTTAATAAAGTTGGTTTTCAGCTGGCATTGGAAAAATAGGGACTTCATTGATTGCTACTATGTGTTGATATGGGTTCGTGCAGAAATTAGGTTTGAGTCTGTAATTAGGAATTTTGTATAAGAGAAACTCTCTGTTCACGTTTTCCTTCCTTTCCTTTTTTATTTTAATCTTAATTTTAATTTTGATTTTTATTTTATCGTTTGAGCAATGTATACGGTGATGTCTGTGGGTAATTTGATGCCCCTTTTGGAACAGGATGTTTTTTAACACAGCTACTGAGGAGTTGGATTCATACTATCCTATTAGACCCGAATGTCAGGCCGATGCCCCCATGACCCGTTTTAAGGCAAGGGTATGTAAAAATTTCTTGCTTGGATTTTTTCAATTTGATTTGTTGGTTTTGTCAAACTTGAGCATTTATTTTTATTGACAAGTTAGATTGAATATGCATTTCATATCATTGGAGGAAGATGTTTGAGATATGGAATATATTTTGTTTTCTGGCTCGATGAACGAAATTATTTTGAAAATAGTCAAGCGGGCTTTAACTTATAATCGTATGTCTGTAAATTTGTTTGTGCGTGTTAAAACACCAGTAAGTTTGATCTGAATATGCTCCACTTAAGCGAGCATTGTTTGTTGGACGCAGACTCTTTCTTCATGATTACCGTTGTTATCCATTGAAAACCACGAAATTAGTTTCTTGTTTATTTCACGATGCTATTTTACTATAGTAAATATGACTTGCTTTCTCTAGAGCTTATTTTGAAAATGTAGTTTATTTCCTCTGACCTTATTCACAGGTAGGTAAAACTCTGAGTCCAAGAAGATGGAATGCAGCATTTACTCAAGATGGTCATTTGGATATAGCTGGTGTACTGAGAAGAATCCAGAGAGGGGTAAATTTAGTATATTCCTTGTTCAAAAGTTTATGAGGGACCAGTTTGAGTATTCATATTATGATAGATGGTCTGATAGTTTGAATATGCCACGTGTCGGATATTAATTCTGTGTCAGAATATCTGCGAATATCCTATATAAAAACATCAGTCTTTTGTTTCATTGCAATTTGGGGTGATTCAAGTGTCCAGTTTATCTAAGTTTCGCTCTTCTTATGGTAAGAATTATTTGATCATGACATTTGGAGATGTACGCATGGTTCTCCGGAAATTAACGTATGCGCCCCATGCACAATGCATGTGACATCATACTCCATTAAAGATACTATATAATTGGGGAACTGATATTGTTACAGCTAATTCAGCAAGAGATACATTTATAGTAAATTAATTAGAGATTATAGATGTATAACTGCTTGTCACATCAGACCGTTATACATTATCGTGGATAAATTTGTTTCTCTGGCATTAGGAACAAGTTCATGTTTAAAATGGCACTACTGTTTAAAATGGCGCTACTGATGCTTCAATGCTAAGCTTCAATTTGAAATGTTTTCCTTTTAAGTTGAACTCCGTGCTTGTGCAGTCATGGTAAGGGGTTCTTAAACGCTTATCAAGTTGATTAAAGTATTATTTTTACTTATAATATGCAGTTTTAACTGGATTTATTTTTACACAAATTGGTATACTTATACATTTGGAATTTAATAATGAATCGCCAATGGAATGCTAATTTGTTTTACCTTTTGCTGTTGCTTCAGGGGATTCATCCTACAATTAAAGGGGCAGTCTGGGAATTTTTGTTGGGTTGCTTTGATCCCAATAGCACAACCGATGAACGAAATGAAGTCAGAGAGCGGAGAAGGTATACAAGCTATTTTATTTCCAACAGATGTATGTAGTATTGACTATCAAAAAGATGTTCCTTGTGGTCTGTATCTTCAGCAACATGGTTAAAATACTAATATTTTGTGGCTACTTTCTGTTATTGCTGGTTCATTACATGGTTGACGAGACGAGTCTAGTGCAGCACGATAAATACAACTTCATTATGTGCTTAAACAAAAAATTGCCTGAACTGCTAAGAAAACATTTCCAGCAATTGGTTGAGGTGCTTTTGACCACATATTTTATATATTTCTTTTGATATGCTCATGGACTTTGTTGGAGTTAACTCGATGACTTAAAGACAAGTGTATAAAGATCTGATATAATTCCAGGGAACAGTATGCTGCATGGAAAGCTGTATGTCAAAACATGGTACCTGCTGTTGGCAGTGGAAAGTTCATCACAACGCCTATAGTTACTGATGATGGCCACCCTGTCGAAGAGAATAACGGCGGTGCCATGTCAAATGGTGGTCCAATGGACCAAAGAGAGTTTCAGTGGAAGCTTGTCCTGTCTCAAATTGGTTTGTCCTTGGGCATAAATTGATTTTCACTTTTAGTTGTTTAAAATTATATGTCCGCTCGAGCCTTTTGTTGTGTCTACCTTTCCTGACATTATTGTGCATATATATACATACACACACGCACACACTATTTGATGCATTCAATCATTACAAAATAAGCATGTCTGAGTCCCTCTTGTCGATTCTGGTGCATGTATTTTATAGTTACTGTTCAAGTCCCTGTGCTGAGGGTTCTAAATGACATTCATGGAGTTTTAGTTTAGTTTTTTTTTTTTTTTTTTTAAATGTAGTACGGATTCTTATAGATGACATTGATAATGGAATTTATGTTATAGGTCTGGATGTAGTTCGGACTGATCGCACTCTTGTATATTATGAGGACGAAGCTAATCAGGCAAAGCTCTGGGATATTCTTGCTGTATATGCTTGGGTGGACAAAGATATTGGGTATGTTCAAGGTAATTGCACATGTTAACCCGAGGCACCACAACTTCTAGTGAAAGATCTTACCTGTTTTTTTTTTTTTTTTTTAAATAAATTCCCTTGAACAGGAATGAATGATATATGCTCTCCAATGGTGATTCTTCTTGAACATGAAGCAGATGCCTTCTGGTGCTTTGAGCGTGCAATGCGCAGACTGGTAAGATTTCCTTATATGAAAAAATTAGGTGCGCACGTGAAATTTCTTACAGCCAATCGAATTGATAACGACACTTTTAACTCCAGTCTGGAAAGAAAAGTAGCATATTTTGTCACTACCAGTTAATTTTTGGAGTTTCTAATCCCGGGGTATGAATGGCCGCTTAGAAAAATATAATCTCCGTAAAAGAATAAGAATAAAGAGGGTTATCGAAGCAACCTGCAGTAAGTTGGAATTGATAGAGGTTTACTAGATTCATCCATAACGCGACTTTCCCCGTATTTTGCATCTGATATTTCTCAATTCATAATTCATGGCTTTTAAGTTTTTGCTCGTCTTGATAACTGATTCTCCATTTTGTTCAAAGAGGGAAAATTTTAGGTGCACGACAAGTTCTATGGGGGTGCAATCTCAACTGGGTACCCTCTCACAAATTATTAAAGCCATAGACCCAAAGCTCCACCAGCACCTTGGTATGTTTGTTTTCCTCTGTAGAACTTCTCATGCTTAAATTCTGCTCTTCCAAAAGTAAAGAAAATCGCATCTTTCTTTGGTGAAAGATTATTGCTATAAGCAGTGTTTATTAATAGATTATTGATATAATACTATAACTATATATATATACCTATGTTGTATGTGACTTAAGCCCATGTTTCCATTGATAGAGGAGCTGGATGGAGGCGAGTATTTGTTTGCCATTCGTATGCTGATGGTTCTTTTTCGAAGAGAGTTCTCACTCGTGGATGCCATGTATCTCTGGGAGGTAAAACCTGCCCTGATAATATTCAAACAAAACGGGATTTCCTATTAAACATATTCTTTTATGACCCTTTTGTTGAAATTAGTGATGGGCTTGTTTATGATGAACCTTTTGGTGATTTAGGTGATGTGGGCGATGGAGTACAATCCGAATACTTACGCATTATACGAGGAGTCGCGTGAGGGTTCCACCAGTAACGGTGAAGCTAATAAAATGAACAACAAGCTGCTCAAGCAGTACGGAAAATTCGAGAGGAAAAATGTGCAAACGGGAGTGGCAGATCAGAGAAGCGCACTTGCTGTTTTCCTTGTTGCTAGCGTACTCGAGAAGAAGAATAAGCAACTCCTTAGAGAGGCTCAAGGCATGGATGATGTCGTCCAGGTACGTACTTTACTTACTCCCTATTTCATTTACTGTATTTTTTTTCATTTTTGATTTTGACCAATAAGCTTATTATCTTCATTTTTTTTCACTACTTGGTTAGATCTTGGGTGAAATCACTGGAAATTTGGATGCAAAAAAAGCACTAAAAGAGGCATTGAAAATTCACAAAAAGTATTTGAGCAAGGCAAGTTTCAGTTTGATTATATATCCCGTTAAACATATCATCATTTACTCTAAATATATTTATTACGACTGAATGCAGGCCAAGAAACCGTAAGAACCGCCTTTGAAGCCCCACATCAACTACTTCGATTCTCAGAAGTTTTTGCTCCTTTGTTTGTTGTATGCATTTTTTATTTTATTTTGAGTATTCCGCTTCTGTCCATTTTCGGGTTTTTTTTTTTCCGGGTACATAGAATTTTGACTCTTGAGTGATTCCATAGTCACTTATTGCACCAGCTCTTTGTGAAAGAACAGTTTACACGGTGCACTGGTTTTTGTAATTGTCTATAGTATGTGCATTCAGATGTAAGTCAGACATTCAACTGTTGATAATAAGAATGTAAATAAGCCCAGGCAGGCAAGTTTCACTTGGCCTTGGAACATTAGTTTTCTTACTATAGTTGCTACACGCTTATATGCATTCTCCACTTGCGGAACCAGATAAAACGCTTTTATGTATTAGTGTCACAAAAAAATTAATAAAAATAAGGGTAAATTACAAACACCCCCCTGAGGTATGGTCAAATTACAAAAACACCCCTCTTGTTTGGATAATTACATCTACCCCCCTCAAATATGATTTTTTCTTAGACCTCCACCTTTATGGTGCCAAATTCAACATAGTCATCTAGATTCTGTGAAATGTGCTCTAGTTTGTACTCTTTTTGTGTAAAAAATACAGTTTCCGATGCACCACAAACTGATATATACAAGCTAAAAATCACATATTATGATCATCTTGCTTCATAATGTAGAGTTTGAATGAGATAAAACGGGTACAAAAGTGATAATATTCCATATAATCTCGAAGATTCCACTAAATTTGATGAGTTGAGGGGGTGGTTGTAATTAACCAAACAAGAGGGGTGTTTTTGTAATTTAACCATACCTCAGGGGGGTGTTTGTAATTTACCCTAAAAATAATAATTATTATAATACTAATAAAATAATTATGATTTTGTTGGTTAATAATAATAATAAATAAATAAATAATGAAATTGTGGTTATCCATCCAGCGATTGGCAGGGTATTTGAATTAGATGCTCATAAATTGAGGGAGATTCGTGCTTAAAAGAGAATCAGCGTGACTAGAAAGCTAGTAGAAAAACTCAGTAAAAAACCCATACAATTCCCATTCCCATTCATATAGGAATTTTACAGAATCCAGTTGCCCCAAATCCAGCCTTCTCAATCGATATTCTCAGGTATACGAAGATCTATCTCTCTCGCATTTTTCTACCAATTTATGCTATTTCGTGAGCTGATTTACTGCTTTTATTTCATTTTTTTCTGGTAGATCGTTCCTTTTTTTTGTTAGTTAGATGCGTGATTGCTCGATGAACGATCGTGATCTCTATGTAGTTTACAGTAAACGGAGTTTTGTGTGTGTGTGTGTGTGTGTGTGTGTGTGTGTGTGTGTGTTTAATTAAAACATCGATGAAGTAGATCAACTCTACTGAACCGTGCGTGTGACTGTTGAATTATGACAATGGATTTATTTTCGCTTGTTCTGATTTTTTATGCTACTTAAATGGAGATCTAGGGTGCAAGTCAATACCAGTACTGATTCATTGTTTTCTAGTTAGGGAGGCATCAAAGTTGATCTAGTAATTCGTAATTTTTCGCATTCAGAATGAAAAAAAAAAGTAAGGCAACTAGGATTAATCTGAGCTGCCATTTTTCCCCACCTTATTTTGAAAGGCAATGTTATTTACTGTGTGCAGTTAAGCACGAAATGGAAGGGACAATATTCGCCCCTGCATTGGAAGGAATGAAGCACGTCAAGTCTGAAGACGGAGTAATGCTTACTAAGCCATTCTTGGACGTGTGCAAGCTTATTATACCTGTTATAGGTAATCTTGTGCTGAGTTTGGAGTGAACGCACTTACATGTTGAGTTTTGCATCAATTCCACGAGATAATCAATTGTTCACTCGCACAACTTACAGACTATAATGTATTATCATAATTTTTGACATATCACCGTTTACATGCATAAGTTTCATAGCAGTGATCATTCTCCGTAAAGAGGAAAAGTTATAGATTTAAGTTATTTGATTATTGTCAGTCAAAGTTTTAGTTAATTTGAAGTAGTTGGTTAGTACATTAAGGTACTCCAGTAAACGACTGAATCAGGGCTCAACGGGAATGAACTTTTAGGTAAACATGTGTTGACATTGAACCTTGATGCAGTAGTGTTTAAGTTTTGTTTAGATTGGTGAGAGGATTCTCGATGTATCTGTTTAAAATTCTTGTTTTTGTAAGCATTGTATATTCCCATAGTCTTGTATGCTTTAGTTCTTTTAATTAATGTGATCGAAAGTGAATAATGTTTAGTTCCTTATATTAATGTGATTGAGAGGGAATAATGAATAATGAATAAGATTTGATTGATTATGCCTTGCTTGCAGAAAAGTTTGGAGCTGCTATGGCACTTGTCAAATCTGACATCGGAGGCAATGTAACTGTAAGACATTCTTCCTTTATATTTTATTTACTAGCAGTTAAATGCGTCTTATTTTTAATCAACCTAACCTTTATGCGCATATCTTTTTTATGACATGGTATAGTCACTTTTTGTTCTATAGAGGTTAGAGACCAAATACTTGTCCAACCCGACAAAATATGATCATTTATACAGCATGGTACAAGAAGAAGTTGATGCTAAAACTGCTAAAGGTTCATCGAGTTGTACCAATGGTCTTCTGTGGTTGACAAGGTAAATTCAAATCCCTAACTCTTTGCATCCATGCCTAATTAATTTGCCTGTGCTCTTTTATTTAGTTTTATATACATGAATACACATCTTGAAATGCACGTGGAGGTCGTAAATTCTTATTAGAACGAGCATCTATGATGCTTAAACACAGACCTAAATTAGCATTCTGTAAACTCGTAGGGCGATGGATTTCTTGGTGGAGTTGTTTCGGAATTTGCTTCAGCATCAAGACTGGGCGATGTCTCAAGCTTGTACCGATTCCTACACCAAGACTCTGAAACAGTGGCATGGTTGGCTAGCCAGTTCAAGCTTTACGGTGAATACTCACTCTCATGACCATATTATTTCCAATTAGAATGCTTATATCATAGGGTTGTTCATGAATTAGTGTACGACATCAAAACACACATCAACCCCTTGACTAAATATATAAAATGTGGGTCTTGTGTGCTGTATTTGTCCTTGGTCTTGGATGCTGTCCAAAACGTTTATATCTATCATCTCATGAAGCAGTAACTGCATTCCTGAATCTTAATCATTTTTTTCCTTCCAAATTTGTGTTATTAACTTGTCATAATCGTAAACCGGTACATTATGTTGGATTGCTAATGAAACCGATATATTAGACTTGTTTAAGTCCTTATTTGATTTTGCAAATGCTTATTGTGGACGATAATTGCAGGTCGCTATGAAGCTCGCTCCTGATAGGAAAAAGTTTTTGGACGTTGTAGCTGGAAGTGGTGATATCAACAGTGACATTGAGAAATTCTGCTCCTCTTTCTCACCATTCCTTGAGGAGAACCACAAGTTCTTGGTAAGATCACCGGCTGTGATAGATACAAAAGTAAATTTAAACTCTCGTTTTTTGGGGTATAATTTGTTTTTGTTTTCCTCCTTCAGACATTGATTTAGAATATGGGTTGTGAGGGTTAAACATGTAACGGGGTTGCCAATCTTGAAGAACACGAGAATTAATTTATCTTCCTTTTTTTCCCCCCTTTTTCACAGGCGAGCGTTGGCATGGATGCGCTTAAGGCATCATAGATAATGAATGAAGGCAAAGTTCCTGCCCTGAGACGATATTACCTGGTTTACTCTTATTCAGTATTTGGCACTATACCTTGCTAATAAATTTGACAATGTCGACTGTGCTTATACGTATTTGACCGGGGAACTTCTATACATGAGTGAACCAACCCTTATAACATAGAAAACTCAACTCTTTTCAAGCCTACCAATTTGATTTGAAGTGAATTGAACTCGTTGTCTCTTATTTTGAATTGTCATTAATTTAACTCACTCCCCCTCGTTCCATAATACTGGTTTTCTCGGATAATTAGATGATACGCCGGGTTATTTACACTGAGTGAGTTTTCAACTGTAGATCTATATTTAATCACACATACATCCTATGTGTGATTGTGTGTAAATCAAAGTTGTAATGAAGAAAACATGTCCAATTTCAGCAAAAAAAATTAAAAAATTATGGATATTTTAATACAGTGCCAGCGCCTTCGTGGCGCGTTACCCTCTAACCTAGTGGAAACAAATAACTAACTCTTTCTTCTTCTAACCGTTTTATTTTTAGTCCTAACTATTATTTTCTATTTCTGTAACTAATTAAATCTGTTTCACTCCACACCTAAATTTTCGACGGTCGCCTTGACTTTGTTTCAACGGCCCCAACAATTCCATTGCCACTGAAACAAATGGAAGGCTTTGCATCAACAACAAACATTCATTGGTTTCTAATTACCTATATTTTATTTTTTTTTTTTTTCTCCCTTTTACATATTTTACATTAAAAATTAGGACAGGTTCAAATATCTCTCACTCCTGTTTTCTGATCATTCATTGCAATAAATTAAAAAAAAAATCAAGAAAAAATAATAAAAAAAAAGGTTGAAGAGAGTTTCGTCGAGTCGTTTTTCGTACATTGCATGGATAAACATTAGGTCCATGAGATGAAACTGAGTCTCCTTGCAAAAGGATTTGGTTTCGCTCATGGTTCTTCATTCTTCAACTTAACAGAAAAATCCATGCATGTTCTTTGAATTACCTTATAAAAAATAACAACCAATTTATTATCTATACATATATATACACATATACACGAGATTCGCGTATATGTCTACTAAGATGAAAGGCCTTATCAAGGGATTCAGATACATTTCCCAGATATTCGGTTCGCCTTCCTCCTCCTACTTTCGTATTTTTATTGTCGTAAATAAAACATATTAATTAGTAAATATTTTGTTTTTTTTTTTTTTTTTGAAATATGCAGAGGAAGAAAAAGAAGATGATATGCAGATTGGCTTCCCCACAGATGTAAAGCATGTGGCTCATATAGGATGGGATGGACCCTCGTCAACGGTTCAGCACGAAGCCCCAAGTTGGGTATAAATCGAAAAATCGAATATCTCTTTTTTTTTTTTTCTCATCAAAATTTGTTTTTTTTTTCATTATATAATAAAAAATAAATAAATAAAATAAATTGTTGGTAAACACATTTATATGCAGATGAAAGAATTCAAATCCCCATCTGCATGCCAATCAGCACCCTTGAGTTCCCCTACAGACAACAGGGGAGGAGACCCTGAAATCAAATGGGTTTCTGAAGGTAATTAATTAATTAATTAATTTGTCATAAGAAAAAAATATGTATACAAATTACATATATATATATTTTTTTTAAATAAATGTAGATTCAAGAAGAAGCAACAGGGTGACAGATTCACCAGGAAGGGACTGCCCAGCAGATTTGCCGAAATCATCTCGGCGCCACCACTCATCGGACAGCAACCCGAACGACTCGCCTAGGAAGAAAGACTCGTCTACGAGATCGAGGCATTCTAGAAGGAACCACTCCAAGGACTCTGCCGAGGGCAGCGTAAAGTCCAACAGGCAGCATCACATGCAAGAAACGGGGGCCGATTCCCCCTCCCGGGGCCTACCCCCAGACGCCGCCAAGAAAACACGCCGGAAGAAGTCCAAGGAATCGGAAAACGGCGGCGGCGGCTCCTCCAGGTCATCAACGAGATCGAGACCCCCGTCCAATAGCACCGAAAACGATAACAACTGCGATCCGTCGTCGTCGGCTGCAGCTCAAATAACGGTCCCCGTTCAGAGTGCGAATGACGTAGATCCAAAGAAGATCGAATTCTGAAGACTTTTTTCGTCGGCAGCTCAAACAACTTCTCTTATTCTTTAATTTGCTTTCTTTTTGTTTTCTTTTTTCTTCTCATCACCTGTGTTTTTTTGGCTTAGTTTATTTTAGCCTTAGTGATTGATGATGAACTATAGTATGGAAAAAAAAACAAGCATGAAATTGTGTGTGTATCTTTTTTTTTTTTTTTATTTAATTTTTGGTGGGAAACTTCTGTTAGCATTGGGAATATTAGCTTTTGTTTAGATGTGTATGTATGTACTTTAGCATCATTCCTAATGTCATTGCCACCATTTCTGGCTTTTTGTTTCCGCAGAGGCTCTTTTAATAAAACTCTTTTTTTTTTTTTTAATATTTTGGGTTAAATACAGTTTGCACCCTTAAAGTATACCCTCTGTAACACTTACCCCCTTAAAGTATCATTTGTAACACTTACCCCCTCAAGCACAATTTTAATTTGCATTTTCAATTTTAATACCTAAACAAATTATTTTATTGAAAGGAATAACTTTTTTTTTGAGTAAATTCAAGTCCATTACAAGGGGAAGTAGGGGAGGGGGGGATTCGAACCCTAGACCTTTACCCTATTGGTAAAGGCTAGGTACCAACTATCCTAATGAGGGTTGGTATTGAAAGGAATAACTAAAATAATAATTATATTATACAACTAAAAAAATCAATTGAAAAATACAATATTTTAAATTTTAAAATATTATCTTGCGTTGGATACTTATTCAATAAATAACATCTAATTGTTGTTGGACCAATTAATAAAAAATACTCTATCGATAAATTTTAAGAAATCAATACATAACTAACATAAATCCCGTAAAGATGAGTTTTGACGATGATCCAAAAGAGCAACCCTTGATGATGAAAAGGGAGATAATTCATTTTTTTTTATTACTATATGTGGACGAAATAAAATTAATGGTCTTATTTTTGTTGTAGGTGAATCTATGTGCAATTCACGAGATTATACTTTGAGGCCAGTTTCGGATCTGATAATGTCCGAATCTGAGAATGTTTAAAACACGAAAGCTTTAGAGATTTCTGTTGGCTGTCCGAAACATCTTGAATCACTGGAATCGGACGTCAAACGAGAGAAATATGCTCCAAATACTGAGCACTGCTAGAGCTGTCAAATTGTGCGCGATTTTTGACGAATCCATAGAATATCGAGGTATCTAAATAATTGATAAGTACGAATTATCAAATCTGGTATGCTCATCTTCTATGATGATTTTCTGCAATAGAATAATATTATTGCATTATTATTTGAGATATATAATTTAATGCATGGATTGATTCATTATCACGATAATATGACATTATTATATATTGAAACGGCTATGTGTGTCGGTCTCCATGAATGTCATGATTAAGGTGATAGAGTTGAATTGACAAAATGATTATGTCTATCATTAGTAATTTATTAATTACTATTGATGTATCAAACACTAATTTTCATAAATATGTTTTATCAATTTGGTAACATAAGAGTGCATTCATATACTGAAATTGGTGATATTGAGATATTATAGATGCATGAAAAATCTCTTAGAATAAACACTTAAATGTCTATTCATCTATAGATTTTTGAGAATATATATTGGGTATATATTGCATTAAAGTTATAATGTTTATTTACGTGAAAGAAATTGCATGTTCAAACTTGCGTGATGTGGCGGTTTAGACTCTTTATGTTCTATTATTATTATTATTATTATTATTATTATTATTTTAAATTACATGTTTGACTAGTTGAAGTATTTAAATTTATTTTAGTTCATTAATTTTTTTTTAAATATATTTTCATTCAGTTTTACCCAATATATATTACTTTTTTAATTTTTTTTCAATAATTAATTTTAGTTACTTTTCACTTTTCTATGAACCGTTAATTATTTGATTGTTATGTTTATTATTTTTTAAATTTTAAAATATAAAATAATTGATGTTGAAGGGGGTAAGTGTTACAAATGATACTTTAAGGGGGTAAGTGTTACATGAGCTATACTTTAGGGGTGCAAAGTGTATTTAGCCCTAATATTTTTTTGGTAAAAATACAAATTTCATCCCTAAGTTTGCATTGATTTCACATTTAGTATCAAACACGTGCCCAGAACTGCCTACCCGGTGGACTAATGGTAAATTCAGGGAAACGACCAAAAGTGTTAAACTAATGAAATACGAGGGACCACAATGTGTTTTTTGTGAACATGGGGGACCAAATATTAAATCGGTGCAAACTTGAGGGATGAAACTGTAATTTTCCCTCTTTTTTTATTTTATTTTTTAAAGCTTATTTTCAGACAACAGCTGGTTCATCAAATTATGGAATGCCAGAAAGGGTAATTAAGTGTTATTAAAGAATATAATCAGACAAATAAATATTCAAGAAAACACCAAATAACCATATGACTAGTGCAAAAATTAAATTAAATTAAATCAAAAAGGCTCTAATTACATAAAAGCCCTCTCCGGGTTTTTTTAATTTGTACATCTCAAAGGTATTAATTATATATTTTCTCCAGTCAAAAAGCTCTCATACAAAACACAAAAACAGCAAAAAAATAAATGACAAAGAAGGTAAAAACTGGGGAGGAGAAGAATTGACAATGGCAGTTTCGTGAATATATGTTTGTCTGCACACTTTCAGCTCTCCCAGGCTACTACTACTACTAACACTGACTTTTGCAGACAGCTTCAAACCCTCGTCAATGCAAAGGTCCGAATTGCCCTCCAACTTCAACTTATTCCCCAACTTTGCCACAAACCCTGCAGAAAATGGAACCCTACCGCTCAAATTATTCCTCCCCAAATTCAACTCACTCACCATCTCCAAATCCCCAAATTCATCCGGCACGGAACCTTCTAGCATATTGTTGTCAAGCCCTAAGTAGCAAATGTTTCTCAAATTTGCCCCCATTGATTTCGGAATATTACCAACAAGTCCCACGCCGGAAAGGCCAATTCCCTTTATGCCCCTCATGTTCCCCCATATTTCCGGGATCTGCCCTCCGAGTAAGTTCCCACTCAAATACACCTCCCTTAAACCGGTCATCTCCGGCAAGAACAACGGCAGCCCGTAATTGCCGAAACGGTTGTAACTCAAATCCAGAAACTCGAGATTATGCAAACCTTTCAGGATTTCTGGTATTCTGCCGGAGAATTCGTTGGAGCTCAGGTCGATCTTCAGCAGCTCCGTCAGGTTTCCGATGGACGCCGGAATATTCCCCCGGAACCCGTTTTCGCTCAGATCGAGAACCTTCAGTTTGTTCAGGGTTTGAAAAGCGGACGTGGGAATCTCTCCCTGGAATTTGTTTCTTGAGAGTGTCAGCTGCTCTAGATTTGCGAAGCCAGCGAACCCATCTGAGAAGTTGCCGGAAACACCGCTTCCGGTCAGAACCAGCCGCCGGAGTCTTCTGAGGTTGCTGATTTTTCCGTCCAGAGAACCGACTAGAGCTGGGTTTTCGATGAAAACCAGTTCTTCCAAGGAAGAAGAAGAAGAAGAGCGGTTGTTCTGGGTCGTCGACGGCGACGATAACGGCGAGAAATCGGGAAACGGGGTTTCAGTCTGGGTGAAGCATTTGTAGAAGAAGAGCTTCTTTAGGTGGGAGAGCGGCGCGAGTAGAAGCGGGTCGAGCGTTGAGTTCGAATCGCAAGGCGGGTTGGGTGAGTAGTCGGAGACGTACCCGAAGCTGAGCTCCGTCACGTGTGGGGTGGCGGCGGAGGAGTCCGACGCCGCCGCGTCGGAATCGGAGAAGTAGTCGCAGACGACGCCGTGAGGGGCGGAGGAGCAGAGGTCGTCGGGGAAGAGGGACCGCCACTGGATATCGGAGTTAACGGACTCGAGAATCCGGTAGACGGACTCCTGCTCCGCCGGGTCGAGCGGCGGCGGCAGAGACTGAGACACGACGACGGAACCGAAACTTGAAACCATGGAGAACAAGACGAAGATTAGAGAGAGAGTAAGAAACTGTGCCATTGGAGAGAATTGTGAAGAGAGAGAAAGTGTTGGTGTAATGATTTAGTGAGAGAAAGAGATAATGAGAGAGGGGTTATATATATAGTGGCGGGGGGTGGGGGGAAGAAGTATGTTTGTCTTGAAAGATGAAAAGGAAGATATCAAAAAGGACAATGTTGTCTGTCTGCAGAGATTTGCTTGACTGTTTTGCCGAACACTTGTGAAATTACCACTTTGTCCTTGTAGTCTCTCATTTATGCTATACTACATGCATGATAATGCTGAGGAGTAAGCATAGAGAGGTGAGCTATTTTTGAGGTGTTCAATTGCATTGAGAAATGCAAAGCATTTATTTTATCCTTTTCTGTCATCACTATATATTCATTTCAATTTTTTATTTATTTATTTTGTATAAAAAATAATAAAATTATTTTTACGAATTTTTGTTCTATTTGATACCATCGGTTTATCGGCTGAATTAAATTTCGGTAATCGGCATGTACGAATTTTCATTCGATTCGATTCGATTAGTTTATCGGTCGAATGAACACCCCTAGATAAATTTGATATCGTAATGGTAGATGGTAAAACAATATAAAATTGAGGGGTAGTTATAATTATGCAAACAATATGGATTTTTTTCGTAATTATACATTATATCAAAGGTATAATTACGAAAACAAAATTTTTCTTTTCTTTTAAAAAAATATGTACGCTTCATCTAGTATATTAGATATCAACATGGACGCGAATCGCATTCGAATCAAACCCGATTACTAAATCGATTAGGTGGATCTACAAATGCAACAATTTTTTGAACCATAACTGAAATTTGTTGTTCATAAATAAATGTCAGTTACAAGTTGTTTTCATGGTGGTTCGAATAATTGGGCCAAATTCTCAATTCACAAACTTGTTTTTTTCTAAAACGAATTTGATCTAGTGATCATTGTAGATCAATGATGATTAAATGACTATATATTGTTAAAACTTAAAAGTATTTCCGTATTTAATTTTTTTTATTTATGATTAATTAGATTAAACACAGGTTAATTAGAAAATAAAAGAAAATCAGGGGCAAAAACGTAATTGTGCAAAGCGATCATCCATCACATCTACCACTTCCTTTAATCTCAACGCCGGAATATCCAACGGCTCTTATTAATTATTTCCTCGATTCCCATAATTAACCTTCAGACAATTTATTGCTTAATTCTTTTTTGTCTTTTTTTTTATCAGCGAAAAAATTGGGCCTAATTATCAAAAATTAAAAATTAAAACAAAAATTAAATAAATAAATTGGGCCTAGCCTAGTAATAGGTACCGTAGCCCATAGACCGGAAAAAATGAAGCAGCGGCGGAGGAGCCGACAGCAACACGCAGCCGCCGCCCGACTTGTCCCGACACTGTCCTTTTGTCGCTTCTCTAAAATCAGAAAGCGACGCCTAACTACCTAAGAGCATCTCAATCCACGTGTCGTATTCTCACTGGCTGGTCCCATTACTAGTACGGAGGATCGTTTGACAGAGCATGCGAACTCCATTTCCGGGTCTTATATTCCCAGTCTTGTGGGGGGCCCCTACCCCCTTTTTGACCTTTTTACCCCCTTTCCCCCAAATTTTTTTTTTCTCCTTTTCATCCTTTTCACCTAGTCTCAAACTTTTGTCTTGCTTGTTGGGTTATTAAAAATAATTTAATTTATTTCACTAAAATGGAAATTCATGGCAGGGAGGAAAATATTTTCAACGGGGTGAAAAGACAAAAAAGTATTGCATGGATGTGGCCAGGAAAATAATATTATTTGATTTTAGATTTTATATGTAGATGCAAAATTAACTACTCTAAAATTGGGCTTTCGTCCTGGTGCACTTTTGATTATCTTTCAATTTGGGCTTGGATGTTACATCAAAATTCCTACACCGGCCCAACTTTAAACTAAAATTGGGCTTTGGTCCGAGCCCGTTTAATTTTAATATTTGGGCCCGAAAATGACTGAAAATGCTTGTCTGAACCCTCACGATTTTCGTATTATAAGGTCTCATTTGGTTATCAAGATAAGATTATTTAAGGTAAGATTAAAATCCAAATATTTTATCTGATCTTGGGACGTCCAGCAAAAAGGTTCCCTAAAAAACAAGATAAGCCGTGACAACATAATATTTGTAGATCGATCTGATAAGTTATCAGAGATACTAAACATCAATTAAAATTCAATTATTTAGTTAATCATGGTTAATTTCTCCAACCAAACAAGAGACGTAAATATACACCGATGGCCATGTAAATTAGAATTTACATAAATTCAAAATCTATGTTCTATTTACAAATTAAACAAAAGGATATATTAAGCTGTTCTCTTGTCAATAACAATAATAATAATAATAATAATAATAATAATAATAATAATAATAATAATAATAATAATAATAATAATTGATGATGATGTATAAAAGCAGAAGAAGAATGAGATATTGTTAGTGATATACTTAAATGGGCCGGCCCAATGGGCCCTCAAATCTATCTACCAATTAGGCCCATTATAAGAAAGCCCAGTCACATACATGTGGGCCCATTACAACGAAAACCCAAGCTCTTTCAAAATAAGGCTTGGGCCCAGCAAAGTAAGCCCAACCCATTTAACAATATATAAATAGATGGTTTATTCATTGGTAAAGGTACGTTCTAATTATTCACAATCAATCTCGAGTTTATTCTCTCTACTCTCTCTACGATCCAGACATCTGACTTGAGCGTCGGAGGGGTTTCCGCCGGATCAACCCCCGGCTTAGTTCACGTGTGCTCTTTTCGCAGGGACCTCAGGAGCATCAAATTGACTAGCTACTGATCAGCTTTGCTCTCCCAGCTCGTTTTCTACGTTATCCTAGGTGAGCTAAACTTTAGCATCATCATTTTGGCGCCGTCTGCGGGAAAGATGCAAACCAGATCACGTAGCCAACAAGATCCTCCTGAGGCGTCAGCTCGGAGAGAAAACGACACAGCTAATAACCTCCCCGCTCGTGGAGGATCTGGCATCCCACCTCCTCCACGCGCCGCGGAGCAACTTCCTCCACGTGCCACGGAGCCAGCTCCTCCACGTACTGCTGATCCACCTCGCGAGGTTCAGGTGATCCCCCCTCGGGACCCACCACTCGCCGATCCACCACTTCCTGCTCCTCGAACGGTTCAGATAACCGAGGACGCACTCCAACGTATGATAGCGGAAGCTTCTACTCGCGCCGCCACAGAGGCCGTAACTCAATATATCGCCACGATGGGAGCAAACGCTCCCAATGCGATACCAGCACAAGCTCCACCTATAGTACCACCAGTGGCCCCACCGCCGATCCAGAATCAAATAAGTGTCTCCTCCTCTACGTCGGACCCACGGTCCCGAGTGCAGCTATCTACTAATCTCAGAGGAGCACAGCCCAGACAACAACGTCGACGCTCACCCCTACGGGGGAATGCATCACCACCAAGAATCCCTCTCTTTAATGAGGGAGAAGGCGAAGTAAACAGCCGAATGTCTCGCCAAAACCTTTTCTCCCAACCAAATAATCAAATGGGTGAGAGGATGCCTCTCCCAGCAAGACGCAGTCCCTTCACCATAGACATCCTCAACGAGGTATTACCTCAAGGAGTAAAGATCTCGGGGTTACCTCAATTCGAAGGGACCACCGACCCACAGGAACATATTGAGAAATTCAGTGCCATGGCGGATTTATACGGCCCGACGGATGCGACGATGTGCAAAATGTTCCGTACCACTCTCTCCAAGAGGGCGATGAATTGGTTCAACTCTCTACCCATAGGGTCGATTGACACCTTCGCTCGGCTGTCAACCCGGTTCACCAACCAATTCGCTATCAACAAACAATATGCCAAAACCCCAGCTCATCTCTTCTCAGTAGTACAGAGAGATAACGAAACGCTCCGCAACTACATCAAACGTTTCGTAGAAGCCGTCCATGAAGTCCCCAGTGTGGGGCAAGACATGCTCTCAGGGATTATGCAACAGAACTTGAAACCGGGTAGATTCAAGGAATCTATTGCCGGAAGACCACCAGGCAACCTAGAGGAGTTGTTAAATCGAGCCGAAAAGTACGTCAGGATAGAGGAAGCCTCCACCCACGCTCCCCCTAAAAGGAAAAGGGAAGATGACCGTCAGGACAATAGGAGGCGTGATGACCGACGTCCACCACTTCCACCTCCAAGCCAACCCTCCTTTTCCTACAATAGGTTCACTCCGTTAAACGCTCGCCTCACTGAAATCCTTCACGTGATAGAACAGAGAGGTTTAGCGGAGCCTCCACGTCCTATGCAGCCGAATGCAAAGCGAGAAAAGTCGGATCGCTATTGTCGATTCCATAAGGACAAAGGGCATACTGCGGAGGAATGTGCACAACTCAAAATGGCGATTGAGAGGCTGATCAAACAGGGCCATTTAGGCGAATACGTCGATAAGCCGCGAAATAAACGCCGTGATGATCCTCCACGCCGAGATAACAATCGAGATCAACAACAAAGACGAGAAGATGGGGGTCACCGACGTGACCTAGATAACAATGATAACCAGCCTACCCGGGGAATCATCTCCTTCATCTCCGGAGGACCAGCGGGAGGCGATTCACAGAATGCAAGACGCACACTCGCTCGATCAGCGCGCATGAATCAAGAACGCGCTTCTCCATCCGAACGCATATATCAAATACGAAGACCTGATCACAGCATAGTCTTCAACTCCTCCGACCTCGAAGGTCCAGATGAAGACCATGTCGATGCATTGGTAGTAACAACAACGGTGGCCAACTTCTTGGTCAAGAAGATATTAGTGGACGGTGGAAGTTCGGCTGACATCATGTACCTCCACGCTTTTAAGCAGCTGGGCATAGATAATGCCCGATTTAATCCCGTCTCCACACCCCTGAAAGGATTCACGGGAGAAGGCATTTTATCCATGGGAGAAGTAGAGCTGCCCGTCTCTTTAGGGGAAGATCCTTGTCGAATCACCAAGCTAATCAAATTCCTCATCGTCGACAAGCCATCTCCCTACAACATCATTTTAGGAAGGCCAGCCATCCATACATTCAAGTCCGTACCTTCCTCCTACCATCAGAAGTGGAAATTCCCTACTCCTTATCGAATGGGAGAGATACTTGGAGACAGATGCCTCGCCCGAGAGTGCTATGCAAGGGCCCTACGAGAACCTTCCAAGAAGCCTAAACCACCCGGAAGGGGAGACGACACCAAAAA